CGCAGCCGGGTGGTGGTGGCGGTGCCAGGACTCAAACTTGTCGCGTTGGAGCGGGAAGCACAGGTGCAGGCTGACAGGGATCCTTGGAGGCCGGCACAATCCGGGAGGGCTTCGGCTTCGCTTTGGACACGCGCTCGCGCAGCCGTCCCTGTGTGCTGGGTGCACCTCGCACGGCCCGTTCAGGGCACACGGGGCGCCTCGCGCGGGAGCACGCGATCCTTTCGTGCCCCTTCCCTCCCCGCGCGCGAAGACCTCCCTAGGAGTTTGGTTTAAAAATAAAAGAAAAAAATAAAATACCCCCGTGCCCTGCTTGGTGAGAGGCGATGCTGCTGTGGGAGGGAAACGCGTACGTAGGGATCTAAAGGGAGATGTAGAGGCGTGCGCCTTCCTGCTCAGCCGTCCAGCGTGCATCCTATACGTCTGCAGGGGAACACAGCGATTACCATATGAAAACGCCGATAACAGTGGGATTCTTGTGCCGGCAGAAACGAAGGAGATATACTACCATTTTGGTGCCAGTTAGGCCCATAACTGCTATTTGTGGCTGGGTTTAGTAACAATTAACCTTTCACATTTTGTATTAGCCTTTGCTTTCCTGGTGCAGCTGCTTTTTTTTACAATATGCTTTGCTTCTCCTCTCAGAAGGGCTATTTTGGCAGTTGGGGTATCTGTTCTAGAAACCACAGGATGTATGGAGGGAGAATGGGGATTTTTTTGATAGCTGTTTGACATATAATAACTTTTTGAGGAAAAAAATCCAACCACATTTTGATTTAAGGGACCTTGTGCACTTGAAGATGAAAAAAGCCGATTGCGTGACTGCTACTTAAAATATTTTAAAGCAAATTCAGTGTAGTTTTGCTTGTGTGACAGCATCAAGTCATGGGTTTGAAAACCCTCGAACTGGTGTGCAATGAGGCGTCTCAGACTGGAGCTGGACGAAATTAATGCATTTGGTAGGTGCTTCCCTGCCTCTTTGGGCTGGGTGAAGGGAGGCGTTACGGACCCAACTGTGTCACTGCCATTTGAAAACTAGTAAAGTGCCTGGGGGACTCTTGGGAAGGAACATGGCTACAAGTGACCCACGGGCACTCTCTGGTTTAATTTCTGTAGATGTGTAGATGGGAAGACCAACATCTTGTGGATGAGGCGCTCAGTGACACGGTTTAGTGGTGGACTTGGTCTTAAAAGTCTTTTCCAACCTAAGTGATTCTGTTATTCTGTGAGCTTAAATGGTTGGTTGGCCAACGAGGTTGCCAGGTTTTCAGGAATTGTCCCCGCTAGTGTGTCATGTAGTGTCTTGGTTGGTTTTGGTTGGTTGGTTGGTTTTTATGTAGCTTAAATGGTTGGTTGGCCAACGAGGTTGCCGGGTTTTCAGGAATTGTCCCCACTAGTGTGTCATGTTGTGTCTTGGTTGGTTTCGGTTGGTTGGTTGGTTTTTATGTATTTTTTTTAATGGCTTCAGGGTGCGATTGTATCGCACAGAAATATTTGAAAATAAGGTGTGTAATTGGGACAAAGTTGGAGTAATTTGGTTTTGGCACCAGTATGCTGTTACTTAAAAACGTAGTGGAGATTGGACTTCACCTGTCAAAACAGAGCTGCTGTGTTCTGGCTCTTCCATAACAGTCATTTCATTTTTTTCCTGCTGTGCTGGAAAAAGAAAATGCAAAATGCCGAGTTTGCATGAGGTGGGTTATAGTCTGCCTTCTCCAAAGCGTCCGGTATCGCAGGTAACAGGTTCACTGTGTGGTTATCAAGGCCGTGCTTTGATCTTGGCTCTACTCGAGTAATTTTGCCAAATCCAGCAATGTGTAAAAACTGGCTTGATGGACAATTTGGACCTTTTTCATTATGATTTTTCTTTATGAGTAAAGATTCAAAGCTTCTGTTTGCACGTTAATGTTGATGATGAATAAGACAATGTGATTTTAATCATTGTCTTTTGAAGATAAAGACTGTTTTGGCACAAGTCCCGTGAGGTCAGTGGGACTGTTTGCAATCGCTTGGTCAGTCCATGGTTGCAGGAATCGGTAGCGGCGCTGATCAGTTTTGTGCCGGGGTCACCTTGCCAATTCCCAGGACGCTTAAATCACATTTTCCTTTGCTTCGTAGAAGTTTTTTTTTTTTTTTTTTTCTCTTGCTTTGCACGGCATAAAATAACCACATAAACCACAAAAGTGTCGGTGTGCGCGCTTGGAGAAGAACAACACAACCCAAGGCTCCAAATGTACATGCCCATCATTCGCGCTGTAGCTCACAGCACCTGCGTTCCCAGCGTGTGGGATGTCTGCATTAGGACAGGGTTGGTACCGAAGTTCCCCCAAGTTAAACTTTGAAAGCAGTACGGGTTTCTTTTCCTTTTTTGGGTGTTTAACATTTGTGAAAGGATGACTTACAGGACTTGGACAAAACTATTTTCTTTTTCATTTCCTGCATGTTGGCACTACAGGATGGGAATCGCAGCTGCTGGAAACAGGATTCCTGGGGATATTCCTCTGCCCGCTCTGGTCCCTCTCCCACCTGCCCCGGCACACTCCTCCTTCCAGCATCGTCATCTGGGGCTTTCGATGGCTAATTTTCAGGATCATGCTTGGAGCGGTAAGTAGGACTTCATCTTTTTGCTCTTTTGAGGCGACAGCAAAAGGAGGTCTGATCCTAGCAGAAAACCTGCCACTGGTCCAACACATTGGATGCCTCTGGTGTAGGAATTTTTCTGGTTGCAAGGGAGAAGCATGTGGCAGGAAATGCTTTGTGCGCTGGTTCGCAGAGTCTTTCAACTTATTACTGGTGTTTATTTTAAAGAGGACAAACGTTGGAGTAAAAATATCTGTGTTGATATGTTGGTGCTGCTCTTGTGTGATTGGCTCTTGAAAAGGAATAAAAGTGAAGTTTGAGACTCGGGCATTGTGGCTTTTCAATAAGGGGGTTGGGAATACAGTGGGTAATTCCCAGGAACCAGGAGCTTTACCCCAAGTTATTTTTTCTTTGTGTGTGCTTTACTGAAATGTCATTCTCTGCTCCGTGTTGTCAAAGGGAACAATCGCTGCTTTGCTGTCCCAGTGCCAGTGGAAATTCCCAAGTAGCTTGTAAAAGAATCCATCAGGAACTGACACATCTTTGTTAAAATAAAGGTGTGGCAGGGCTGTTACCTTGTCATCTCGATCTGCGTTTTGGATGTTTCAAAATGTGCCAGAGCTTTAAGCTAAGGAGCACGACTGTAGAAGGAGAGTGCAGGCAGGTGGGACATTCCGGTGTCTGTGCTCTCTAAAATGCTTCTCTCACCCCAGCTCTTAAGTGCTTGAATCTGTAGTCGACCTCAATGAGCTCTTAATTATCCTCCTGCTCTTCAAAAATAAAATAAATGAAAGACAGACTTTTTTTGCGCATTAACCTTAGTGTCACCTGTTTTCAGGACAACTTTGTTAGTGCAGAATGTGGTATTGCAGTAGATCTTGGAAAACGTGTGCTGTACGTTCTTGCATCAAAGGGTGGCTTCCCAGCCTGTGATGGTTCAGCAAATTCATCTTGAAAGAGCAGAAAATTTGGCTTTTTTGTATGTGTCGTGCGAGTGGTATTTCACATCCCACTCTTTGATGTTCCATTCATATCTTTGCTGTAGCTATTCTGTAGCGTTGCCAAATTTTGCTCAGCTTCCTAAAGCTACCGTTCTTGCTCGTTTTTAATTCCTGCGATGCTTGCTCATTGTTAATTAAATAGATCTGGTCCTCCTGCAGGGCAATGCAGGAGGATAAAATTACTCCTGAAGGTCCACTCCAGCACAGCTTTCTATGACCCTATACAGTACCTGCATGGGTCGGTAATGCCATGGATTTTAATGCAACTGCTGGTTGAAAATATTCAGTAAGGGCTCCTGACTGCGGAGCTTGATCCGACAGGGATGAAGGGTATGTTGTTGGTCTTGTGAGAACGGTTCTGTGGAAACTGTTTCGGATGAGAAATTAAGGGTGGGTTTGGTATTAAATTTTTGCGAGGAAGTGTCTGTTGTTCTTGATGCTTTCCCGCTCCTCATTTGGACATCACGTTGACTTGGTTCAAACTGAGATCTTTCGAAGTTGGCTGGAGATGGCCCCAGGCACATCTGCCCTCGAGCTGGCTGGAGCCGTGGGATGGCTGCGGGGGGGGTCACAGTCCCCAGGGCAGCTGCTCTCCACCTGAGGAAGGATTTCCACAAGTTTAAAGCAGAGCTTAAAACTTAACACACCAGTCACTACTGTGGCATGATTTTTACAGTAGTTTTCAAGTATTTTAAGCAACTGTTTAGGGAACGCAGTTGAAGGCTGCTAACCTGCCAGAAATATCCATCCACCTTTTATTACAAATTAAATTTCCTGTCCTCTCCTTTAAGCACAGAATGATAAGCACTTCAGTAGCTGGCCTGAGTGGTTTCTTCACCGTATTTTGGAGGGCAGCAACAGTCTTCAGTGGTTAAAGGTTTGTGAGTGCAGTAACACAGCTCTGGCTGGCCTTTAATGACAGTCATGGGGACCCGTGTGGGTGACCCGAGGGGTCCCAGTCTCTGCAGGACCCCTGTGCAGTGATTGGAGAGGAGCTGAGAACGTTCCCGCTCTTGCTGGATTAGATCCCATGAGGTGACCTGTTAATCCTCTGCCCTGGTGAAGTCCAAGGTGCGAGTTACCTTAAGTGCAAGTTAGACTTTGCTTCGACCGCAGAGCTGGGGCGGGGGGTGTGGTTGTGGGTGGGGATTTTGGTTTTTCCGGGGTGGTTTTTTTTTGTTGATTTGGGTTTTTTTTTTCAGGAGCTTCGTTGTGAATGAGTTATTTGGCCCATTTATCACCAGTGACATTTTCACCAAATGTCAGCATAGCCTCCTGGTGCCCAATGGATGGAGGCTGACTCCTGTGGTCTTGATGCTTCTCAGCTTCTGAAATGCTTCTTCTCGGTTGTGACGCTGATTATAGACAGAATTGTCAGTCCGTGACACCAAGTGTAGTTAAACACAGCTCATTTTCTTACCAAGTTACGTGATCACGAAGTTTGTGTCCTGCTTTCCTTTTAAAATGGGAGATTGACTGAGCTTTGTTCTGTTCCTGCTGGTTTGTAATATATATTCTGAATTATGGGACAGGTTGGATATAAAAGAAAACCGTTCTCACCAAACATCTTTGTTACTGTTCTCTCTGTGCTGCTTCTTGGTTTTATCTGGAGAGTAATAACTCTCCGGTTATTTTAGGGAGAGCCCTCTGCAGAAGAGATGCCGCCCCTCGTGTCCCTCGTCTGTCTGGGTTACTGATAGACAAGTAACAGGCATGGGAGAGGAAAACATGGAAAGGTCATTAAACGGGGATCTGTACAAGCAAGTGGAAATCGGTGATTGATGGTATCTTTAATGATTTGGGGCCCAAGAACATGTACGGTTCCTTCTCGGCCGGGTAATGACGCTCACAGGCACCGGGAAGTGAGTTTAATGCGTGAAACCGCAGCGTCCTCCTGGCGCGCAGGTGCACCCGCTCGCAGGCCATGTGCGATTGCTTCCCTGGTCTGGGCAGGAGCCGAAGCATGTGCACAAACGCGGGCTGAGGGGTGTTTTTTCCCAGGGGTGGAATTGGCAACGGTTCTATCTTGGGCAGAAAGAAAGTTCGACTTTCCCGCGTGGTTCTCCAGGGGCTCTTCTAGCTGGTGGGGGTAAGGCTTTCCCTGGAAAATGCCGTCCTCCAAGCAAACGGCATTCCCTCAGGTCAGCCTGGTTTTTCTCGCCTTGTGCTGGGTGTTGGGTGAGCAGCGCCGTGTGCGGGTTGGAAGCGCACCTCATGGGCCAGCTTGTCTCTGGTTTTGCAACGTGGTGGCTCCCAGCGAAGACTTCAGGTTCTTATCCCGTAGTTCTCCTGTTTTCTGCCATCGGTTCCTGTATCATGAACAGTACGTGGGGGTTGATTTCACTTGTCAGCCCCTTTTTTTTTCCATCCGGGTATTGTATTTGGGAACTTTTTCCATGCGGAGCTCTAGCAACCAGAGGCTTTGCATTGAAGCACTAGAAATTCCTACTAAAATGAACGCTGATGGGCCGATGCCTGTTGCAGCCCGTCTTGTATCAGCCTGTGAAGGAACAGAAGGTCAAGCCAGCTGCTGGGTACAAAAGAAACCTGACTGTAAAGAAAGGAATCTGGACCTAAAGGACGTTATTTCCTAATCCAAATTGGCATGGTTGTTGCTATTGGTCTCCCCAGAGCACATTAACCATCATCTCTAAAGCTTCCCATATCCCATCGCTCCACACCCTTGTTTACAGCCTCGTCAAGGAGCATTGGAGCAGCAATATGTCTTTATACTTTCTACCACGTGAACCATGGAAGTCCACCGAGCTGGTGGAAGATGTCTGAGCAGCACATGAAGCTCACGGATGCACTGTGCCTGCTCCCCTGCTTTGCTGCTGCCTTTTCTTTTGTGTTGCCCTGTTAATTTCTCTCCTGCTTAGGAGGTGAATGTTGCTCCTGACACTCGGTAGCATCCCCAGCATGGTCCTGTTTCCTCCTCGCTTCGTCCTAACCAGGTGCTTGCTGCTGAAGCACGTGAGCACTGTCGTCCAGCTCCAGACTGCTGTAAGGGAGCCTTGCTGTTTCCTGGCTAGTCCTCCCCCAAAAAGTCACATCCAGGTCTTGCTTTATTGTGCATGCCTTCCCTGGGGGCTGGCTGGACTTCCTTAGGGGAGATACAGCGTGTGAGAAGTAAAATAATCGCGGCTGCATAGTTGCAGGAGGCGAGGAGCACAGGCAGGCTCTGCTTCTGGGGTTTGATTGGCAGCAAGTGCTGGGCTGATCTCAAATATTGCTGACTTTTTAAAAGGCATAATTATGTGATTCAATCTATATGTTTGATGTTCCTAATCATCCATTAGTGCAGGATGTAAAGACGGATGCTTCTTAGGAACATGCAGAGGCAACAGAATAGCGGTCCCTTTGTGTGAGCGAGCAGCTTGTTAGGAAATAAGTGATGCAAACAGACATTTACGGGGCTGATTTGCCTCAGAAGTGCTTGGTGACTTGATGTCATCTCCATTTTGCTTGTGACTCACTGTCACTCTGATTTCTTGAAGCTTGGAAGGTGCAAAGTATTGTTTCGTGTTTTCACAACAGCCAAGAGGCGGGCGAGCAAAGGTGCGTGCTGAGCCCGTCAGGCATTAACCGAGGACGTTAACCAAACCACGGTGACTGGCCAAAAGGAGCAGCCCGCACTGCCAGTAAGGTGCTTTGCTCGGCGGTGTTGCCTGCTGCTAACTGGGCGTTTTGACATCTGCGGCTACCTGGGGAGACATCGAAGGCACGACGCTGCGATCTCAAAACCTCAGCCTTCTCTCAAGTATACGTGTATTTTTCGGCAGACAGGGTTTGTTTTCCAGCTGCTCCATTCCCTGTAGAGCTGTTGCTGGACTCGGTGCGTTTGATGGGTTCGAGGACGGTGGGGCTGCGTGCTGCTGGCCCAGCTTCCCAGTCTGGGTCAGCCTCTTCTCTGAGCTCACCACTGGGCTGCGGTTCCTGAGGGGCTCTTGGCTTCTGGCATCCATTTAGTTAAACTGCATGGGGTTATAATCGCCTGATCCCCAGTAATGGGACTCGTGGGGG